CCAAACCCCCACCATGTGAGAGCAGTTTTGAAGATCATATCAAAAGAGCATCTTGGCAAACAAAGATTTGGAAGTCTTCACATACAGGCAAGCCAGATATTGGATCACCATCAGGGCCGGCTCTGGCTTTTTTGCCGCCCCACCCCACCCCTGGCGGGAAGCGCGGCACGGGAGGGCGCTGAGCCCAGCCGCGGGCCCGCTCTCCCCGACCGGCTGGAGCGCTGGGGGGAGGGTGGCGAGCCCGACCGGGGCCCCGCTCTCCCCGACCGGCCGGAGTGCCGGGAGGAGGGCAGAGAGCCCGGCCGGGGCTCTGCTCTCCCCGGTGGCCGGAGCGCCGCGGGGAGGGCGGCGAGCCCAGTCGCGGCCCCGCTCTCGAGCCGGAGCGCCGCGCCGCCCCCCTCCAGGTGCCGCCCCAAGCACATGCTTGGTGGGGTGGTGCCTGGAGCCGGCCCTGATCACCATTGCAACATGGATGGAAAAAAGTGGATGTCTGCTATTCACCCACTAATAGACGTACAATGCGGTAGAAATCTGGAACCAGATACTCACCTGATGTGAACTGACCCAGCTCCATTGAAGTGGGGGAGGAGCTGCTGGGGCTCCAGTGTTCCCCTCACCCACGGTGACTGAAAGCGCGGGGTCCCCACTGCCGCTGGCAGCAGCTTGGAGCTGTGGAGTCTACCCCTGGCAGTTGGGAGCTGCGGGGTGCCGCCAAGTATGGCAGAGGCTTGGAGCTGTGGGGGTTCCTCCGCTACTCGCAGTGGTGGCTTGGATGGGCAGGGGCTCCCTGCCACCTGTGGTGCTGGCTGGGGACTGCGAGGGGGGCCCCGCTTTCCGCAGTGGCTGGGAGTTGCACGTGGGACCCACTGGCTGACAGCAGGTCCAGCCCTGCCACCCCGGGACTGAAGCAAAAATGTCACGGAGGTCTCTGGAAGTCACTTTGTGACAAAATCTTAGTCTTAGCAATAGGTGCACACTCCCTGTGCAGCCTCCCGAATTCTGCCCTTCCACCCCAACCCCAACCCCAACCCCAACCCCAACCCCATGCAGCATAACAGACCAGGTTTCACTTTGGCCACTTGGGCCAACGTAGGATTTGTTCCTTTTTTTTAAAAAATGCAGTCACTTTTAAAACCGGGGCTCTGGGGGAGAAATACCAAAAACTTCCCTTTGGACACTCCACCTGTTAGTTTCTTAATTTGGATTTTTCATAGATTAAGGATTTGGGGCCATTTCTTTTCTGCCAAAAAGCCAGTAATTTCACAGCCCAATAATTAGGTGAATATGAAAATTGGAGAACCCAAACCCTACTGTCTTCATATAAGTGAAACCTTCTTAATGAACCAAAAATGTTGTTGCTGTTTTTCTGAGTTTCTCTCACAGCACAAACTTGTACATTTTGATGTTGTGTCATTAGGCTGTGATACAATGTGGTCAAATCTGTATATAACATAATTATATTGCAGGAAAAATATTACCATCTCCCGAAGTGTTTCATAGGCTGCAAAAAGCAATTTCAGGGTCTGTGAACATCCTCTACTGCTTGCACAATTCACCCTATAAAAATGGTGAGGTGCTAGAAATCTTAGAATAGGTGGTAACCCTACAACCAAGGGATTAGCACAAATGGGTTGTCTAAAACAGTGGTTTTCAAACTGCGGGTCGCAATCCAGTACTGGGTCGCGGAATGTAAGGCACTGGGTCGTGGTGGCTCTGGTAAGCACCGCCGACCGGGCCATTAAAAGTCCCATCGGCGGTACTGCCCAGCTAAGGCAGGCTAGTCCCTACCTGTTCTGACACCATGCGCCCCGGAAGCGGCCAGCAGCAGGTCCGGCTCCTAGGCGGGGGGGCTAAGGGGCTCCGCGCGCTGCCCCCACCCCGAGCACAGGCTCCATGCTCCTACCAATGGGTGCTGGGAGGGGGGGGGCGGTGCCTTTGGGCGAGAGCCGAACAGAGCCGCTTGCGCTCCTCCGCCTAGGAGCCGGACATGCTGCTGGCCGCTTCTGGAGCACAGTGCGGTTCACGGTGCCAGGACAGGCAGAAAGCCTGCCTTAGCACCCCTGCTCCGCTGCTGACCAGGAGCTGCCCGAGGTAAGCCCGTGCCCCAATCCCCTGCTCCAGCCCTGAGCCCCCCCAAAGCCATAGCCCCTTCCTGCACCCAAAACCCCTTATCCCCAGCCCCACCCCAGAGCCCTGACCCCCTCCCGTAACCCTCTGCCCCAGCCCTGAGGCCCCCCCAAATCCAGAGCCCCCTCCTGCACCCAACCCCCTACCCTAGCCCAGAGCCCCCTCCCACACTGTGAACCCCTCATTCCTGGCCCCATCTCTCACCTCCACACCCCAACCCTCTGCTCCAGCCCTAAGCCCCTCCCATATCTCAACCCCCTCATCCCCAGCTCCGCTGGGTTGCGGGCATCAACAATTTTCTTCAACTGGGTCGCCAGAAAAAAGATTGAAAATGTTGTACTGAAAAACTTGGGTGGGCAACTGAAGTAGTCATTTAAAACAGGAGTAAAGGATTCTATTGGGAAAATGAGATCCTTTATGCAGCATTTTAGTATACAGGGTGCAATACAATAGATCAGGTTGGCGAGCGCTTATTCAAAATAAAAAATTTTCAGGACCCCCTTCCACTTTTTACTGTGACAGTAAATTTATCATTGACAACAGTGATCTGCCTATATAATGTGTGTGTGTTTCACGAGGTTGACGGAGAATACTTGATGTGGAAGGATAAGGATGTGCAGGAAGTGAGGGAAGAAGATATTTTTTGCATTAGATTTGCAATAAAATTTGCAATGCTTCATGTCCCACCCACCCCCCAATTGCCTTTCATGATCCTCCCTGGGGGCTGCTCCCCACCATCAGCTGAGAAACTCTGCAATATATCACGAGTTCCTAGCTTGGGGACTCTGACTAGCTGTAAGGATGATGCAACTACTCTCTGTCTTTCCCATATTGCAAAATGGGAGGAGGGTGCCAGATAGATCCTGGCTAGATGAGAGCAGAGCAGGATCCCAGTATGGAAAAGGCTGAAAAACATTGTAGTAGATGAAGTGTGCTTAATAGTTAATAAATCTCTGCCTCAAGAGTCTTACAACCTAAGGGCTCAGCTTGTACAACTCACAGAATTGCGTGAGTGCTTCACAGAACAATTATTTCAGAGAAGGTGGCTGGATCATCATAAGTTTTACTGAAGAGGGGAGGGAGGCTGGCATAATTTAGTATTAGTCTGTTGCAACTGTATGCACTGAAATGCAAAAATGTTTTACTCTAGATCTAGAGTAGGCAAAAGAGACAAAAAGAGCAGTCAGAAGAGAATCACATGGAGATTAAAGAAAGCAGGAGGAGATGACGACAGGGCTAAGAGTCTCATTAGATTTAATGAGGAAAGAAGCCTGCATAGAAGTGAAGTAAGGGTAAGATGTGGTCAGAGGAGCAGAAGATGCAGATCAGGTTTAATTGTGTCTTGTTTATCAAAATAATCCACTTCTTTCCAAAGTTTAGAACTGACTGAAGTTGTTCACACTGTTTTTATTTGCTCCACACTAAAATCGGGTTGGGATTCAACTCAAACATGACATTTTTCCAGAAGTATACAGAGTCATCTCATGAGCTGTGGGAACAATCCGAAACACTGTAAATAGTTCATTGACTCACCCGCATCAAGAGGAACCCTCCCTAAAGGAAGACTTTGAAAACACTCCTTAATTTAATAATCCACAATAAGGAAGGAGTTGCATCAACCAATGAGGAGACTTGGGGTAAAGTCTGCACTGGGGGAGTCTTTACAAGTGAGGGAGCTGGGGAAGGGCAGCTCTGTACAGGGGATTCTCTCCAATGAGTGTAAGGGGGACTCCCCAGAGAGTGAAGGGGTGGGGGCGGGCAGGTCTGTGGGGCGGGTGGAGAGTCTCCAGAGAGTGAAGGGGCAGGGCTCTAGGGAGGACTCTCCAGGGGGGGAGGGGGCAGGCAGGTAGGTCTGTGAGGAGGGTGGAGACTCTCCAGTGAGTGTGGGGAGAGGGGGTTAACTCTTTCGCCCATTCCCCACAGCTCAAAGCCCGGTGGGAGGCTCCTGAGCTTCTTCGTCCCCACACCCAGCCAAGCGCTGCGAAGCCCTTCCCCTCCTCTCCCAAGATGGCGATGGCGGCGGCGGCCCCTCCCCCTAGATCCCAAGGGCTGGGGCGGGGCCCCTGGAGCCCGTCCTCCCGCAGCTGCGGCCAGGGACGGTTATGTGTGAGCGCGGCTGGGCGGGTGTGGGACGCGCCTGGCAGTTAGCAGGAGCGAGCGCAGCTGGGGCCCGAGCGGAGAGAGCTGCGCGCGCCGGGCCGGCTCCCCCTGGGTAAGTAGCGCGGTCCTCGAGGCACCGGCAGGCTCGGCTGTGGCAGGAGCCAGGCGGGCGGCGACGGGCAAACTTTCCCTGCGGGCTCTCGCTGCCTGGGCTCTGGCCGCTGCTCCGCGGCCATGTTGGGAGCCCGTGTCGCCGGGCTGGCGCGGGAGCTGCCCCTGGGGGGGTGGGCAGGGCGCGACCCCGTCCTCGGGTGCGGGATCTCGACCGACAAGCTTCGCCCGCTGGAGTTTGCTCCTGGGGGAGGTCGGTGGGGACGCGTTTCCCCCGCATCTCCGCAGGGCAAGGTGCCGGCGCTGGCCCCAGCCCCGTGCGGGGCGGCAATGGGGGGGCTCGGGCGCGACAGCACTGGGAGTTGTAGGTGCTCCGTGCCCATCCCGGGCCGGTGGTTACTCACCCCTAGCCCCACTGCAGGCAGTGCCAGCGGGCGGGACTCCAGTCCTGCCTCCCCGTAGGGGGCGTACTGAGTGCCTGGAGCCCCCTGCTGCCCCGGCCGGCTGGCCCGGGGGTTCCGCGCAGCGGGGATGTGAGTGTTGGGCTGCAGGAGGGGGGAGACTCCCTGTAACTTGACAGTATCGGTTATGGGAGTGAATTGTGACTGGAGGGGAGCGAGCGAGCTCCACTGTATTTATTGTCCTTTCGAAAGGACCCTGTGGTTGTGGCAGCCGCAGGTAAACCTCTCACTCGCTCAAATGGGAACAGGGTTGGGCCCATAGTCTTTAGTTGTCTGGATTTGTTGTTTCACTTCACTTATAAATCACCCTATATTCAAACTAAAACCCCCAAATCCTGGGTAGCTGTGTGGAAATAAATATTTGGGTTTAGGGATTTATTTGGGGTTTGTGCACAGTATTTTGCAGGACAGATTTTTTTCTTGAAAGAAATGATTACATTTGTGTAATCTTGGTTGGGTTTTTTTCGGGGTTGTGACAATCATGTAGGGATTATGTCTCTTTTAAACTACCCTGCTAACTCTTTAAAAAGAGAGAGTGCTTAAGTATATAGTGTTTAAAAATTCATGATGCATGTTGCAACTTATCCCTTGAAGCAACTACATGTTCTATAGCTCAGTAAATGCCAGTTGCCAGAAGAGGGATTTCTTTGGAGCTGTATATATATCTGTTGATATACATTGCCTATACAGACCAGCCTGGTGTGTGTGGACAGACCCCTGTGCAAATGTGGAATACCCTTGAATTCAGTGGGTCTCCATGTGAGTGTGGGGATCTGCCTATGTGTCATGTTGCAACATCTGGGCCTAAGCACTATATAAATACAAGGATTTCTAGACAAATGCAATAGTATATAGGATTTACACCAGCATTCAGTTCTTGGCCACATTGTATATATGAAGTTTTTAAAAAGAACAGATAGATGTTGGCTGGTCAAATCAGTATGAAGTTTCCGTTAAACACAATCCTTAATTGGTATGCCATTTATTGTTACTCTCATCTCTTGTGGGTTTCCATGAAGACATTTGAATAAACATAGCAAATAGAAGATAAGCAATCAAATATTTATCACTACTTAATTTCAGGGCTATCGGGGGGGGGGGAATAAGTGGGGCAATTTGCCCCGGGCCCCACAGGGGCCACCGCGAGAATATAGTATTCTATAGTATTGCAACTTTTTTTTATGGAAGGGGCCCCCAAAATTGCTTTGCCCCAGGCCCCCTGAATCATCTGGGCGGCCCTGCTTAATTTGAGGGCTTTGCATAAATGTGATCTGTTTAAAGTTGTTTTCAGTGTTGTTGTAGCCGTGTTGGTCCCATAGATTTTAGAGACAGGGTGGATGAGGTAATATCTCTTATTGGACCAACTTCTGTTGATGAAAGAGACAAGCTTTTGAGCTACACAGCTCTTCTTCATGTCTGGGAAACATCTTAGGGCTTGTCTTCACAGACAGTGCTACAGCAGTGCAGCTGCAGCACATTAGTGAAGATGCTCTTACGCCGACGGGAGAACTTCTACCGTTTGTGTAGTTTCATCCACCTCCCTGAGAGGCGGTAGCTATGTTGGCGGGAGAAACTCTCCCAGTGGTGTCTACATAGGGGGTTAGGCCATTTTAACTATGTCGCTCAGTGGTGTGGATATAGGTCGGTAGGTCTGTTGTGTAGCCCTGGCCTTAAAGTGTGTGTTGACTACTATGCTAAACTAAGTTCCACCTTGTATTTAGTTGTATTTTCCCAGACCTGAAAAAAGAGCTCTGTGTAGCTTGAAAACTTGTCCCTTTCATCAACAGAAGTTGGTTGTATAAAAGACATTTTCACCCACCTTGTCTTTTTAGTTCATCCAGGGCAGCTACTTACCTCTAATCAAATCTATGAATAAATGGTTAAATTTAAAGAGGTTTGAAACAGTTCGATATGATTACTAAAAAAAATTTGTAAAACTGCCTGAATCTTCCGTTTGTCAACATGACTAAGTTTGATAGCATTTCTGTAATTTGTATATTGAAGTGTATATTTGATCTGTTGAAACAGTCTAATTTTAAATGTGATGCGTTATTCCAGGGGTTCTCAAACTGGGGGTTGGGGCCCCTCAAGGGGTCACAAGGCTATTACATGGGGGGTCGCGAGCTGTCAGCCTCCCCCGCAAACCCTGCTTTGCCTCCAACATTTATAATGGTGTTAAATATATAAAAACATGTTTTTAATTTATAAGGGGGGTCGCACTCAGAGGCTTCCTGTGTGAAAGGGCTCACAAGTAAAAAAGTTTGAGAACCACTGCGCTATTCTGAAAGCAATTCAAGAAAAAAGACTTAATCATTATACATTTTAAAATAAGGCAAAAGAAAGACTATTGCTTTCAGTTGCTTTTTTCTCTCTTGGTTTTGTGAATACTTAATGATATTTTTCTATGTTCGGGAACAATGAATTGCACTCCTAGTAAGTACTACTTGGCTACTTTTTTTAGTCTAAAATGTCCCACTTTATTTAGAAATATGGCTGCTGCCCAGCTACTGATTTTAATCCTTGACTTCAGAAGTATTTTTAGTAAGCAAAGCTACTGCACATACCTGGAACTATGGATTAAGGATTCCTTTAATACATTGACTAAATTGACCATAATGGTCTAGAAGCATCATAAGACTTCATATTCATTAAATTTGTTTGGTTACTCTAGAGACTGATGTCTAATACTGCCCAATAAGTTATTTGAGTTTGTAATGCATCTAACATTTTAAATTAAAACTAGATGAATTAACACAACTAGGGAAGTGAGACTAAAATTAAACTGATAAACAAATTTTTGACTACTTCCTCCCTTTTCCCAAATAAGAAACTCAAATACTTGCTCAACTTCAAGATTTGTGCAGTTTAATTGGGTATTGGTAGTGATGGACTTCAGAGATGAGGGGAAAAATGATAACAGAAAATGTGGAAATGGCAGAAGTGCTAAATTACTTTTTTGTTTCAGTTTTCAGCCGAAAGGTTAGTAGTGACTCTAACATAGTGAATGCCAATGAAAATGTGGTAGGATCAGTGGCTAATATAGGGAAAGAACAAGTTAAAAATTACATAGGCTATGTCTACACCAGAGACCTTACAGTGGCACTGCTGTACCAATGCAAGGTAAGATCTCCTGTGTATGTAGTTCTCCTGTTGGCATAATTTAACCACCCCCGACGAGCGGCAGCAGCTATAGCAGCGGGAGAGCGTCTCCCACTGACATGGTGCTATCCACGCCAGCACATCTGTCAATGTAACTTATGTCGCTCGGGGTGTGAAAAAAGCTTTACTGACAAAAGTGCTAGTGCAGACATAGCCTTAGACAAGTTAGATGTCTTAAAGTCACCAAGGCCTGATGAAATACATCCTAGAATAGTCAAGGAGCTGACTGAGAAGATATCTGAGCCATTAATGATTATCTTTGAAAAGTCATGGAAGACCAGAATGGTTCCAGAGGATTGGAAAGGGGCAAATATTGTGCAATCAATTTGCGAACATCTAGAAGATAATAACGTGATAAGTAACAGTATGGATTTGTCAAGAACAAATCATGTCAAACCAACACAATAGCTTTCTTTGACAGGCTTAACAAGCGATTTGGATGGGGGGCAGCAGTTGATGTGGTATATCTTGACTTTAAGGCTTTTGATAGTGTCTTGCATGATCTTTTCTTAAACTAGGGAAATGAAACCTAGGTGGAGCTACTAAAAGGTAGGTGCATAACTGGTTGGAAAACCATTCCCAGAGAGTAGTTATCAGTGGGTTCACAGTCAAGCTGGAAGGGCATATCCAGTGGGGTCCTGCAGGGATCAGTTTTGGGTCTGGTTCTGTTCAGTATCTTCATCTATGATTTATAATGGCATAGAGTGCACACTTAACATTTGTGGACGATACCGAGCTGAAAGGGGTTGCAAGTGCTTTGGAGGCTAGGATTAAATTTCAAAATGATTTGGACAAACTGGAGAAATGGTTTGAAGTAAATAGGATGAAATTCAATAAGGACAAATGCAAAACACTCCACTTAGGAAGGAACAAACGTGCACACATAAAATGGGAAATGACTGCCTAGGATGGAGTACTGTGGAAAGGGATCTGGGGTTCACAAGCTAAATGAGTCAACAGTGTAACACTTTTGCAAAAAACGCAAACATCATTCTGGGATGTAATAGCAGGAGTGTTGTAAGCAAGACAGGAGAAGTAATTTTTCCACTCTAGTCCGCACTGATTAGGCCTCAGCTGGAGTATTGTGTCCAGTTCTGGGTGTCACATTTCAGGAAAGATGTGGACAAATTGGAGAAAGTCCAGAGGAGAGCAACAAAAATGATTAAAGGTCTAGAAAACATGACGTGAGGGATGATTGAAAAAACTAGGTTTGTTTAGTCTGGAGAAGAGAATACTGAGAGGGGACATAACAGTTTTCAAGTATATAAAAGCTTGTTACAAGGAGGACAGAGAAAAATTGTTCTTCTTAACCTCCGAGGCTAGGACAAGAAGCAATGGTCTTAAATTGTAGCAAAGGCAGTTTAGGTTGCACATTAGGAAA